TTTTTATGTAAAATATCCCTTTTGTGTTCGTATAATATTTTATTTAAACTTCTTGAGGTTTCTCCAATGTAATCTTTCTGGCAATCATTACAGATGATAACCTCTTCTATCAATTTTTGGCATTTTGTTTTGTATTGATTAATTCTTTTATTGTTTTAGAGGTTGTTATGAGAGCATAACAATAATAATAATAATAATAATGGACTATTCCATACGTAATAAATACTGCGACTCAGGAGTAGGAAAGGAGTCGGTTGTTCACTTTCTGAGCGACTGTTCGGTTCAACTCTCTTCCTACGGGCGAAAGGAGGCTACGCCGAAGGGCGGAGTCTCCTTCGGGAGGTTCTGAGCCCTGAACCCGTTTATACGGGTTCAAATGGGCTATTTTTGGCTGAGCCTAATGGCTCGGGAATGCCCACGTTAAAAGGCCTTTGTGCCACATGACACCCTCGTGGGGGTGACTGAATATCGTCGGTCGCTCACTTTCTGAGCGAACGGTTCGGTTTAACTCCTTTCGGGCGGGGAGGAACCCGAAGGAGGCTACGCCGAAGGGCGGAGTCTCCTTCGGGAGGTAAACCGGCCCAGAACCCGTTTATACGGGTTCAAATGGGCTATTTTTTGACCGAGCCTAATGGCTCGGGAATGCCCACGTTAAAAAGGCCTTGTGCCACATGACACCCTCGTGGGGGTGACTGAATATTGTCGGTCGTTCACTTTCTGAGCGACTGTTCGGTTATACTCTCTTCCTACGGGCGGGAGGAACCCGAAGGAGGCTACGCCGAAGGGCGGTGTCTCCTTCGGGGAGGTAAAACCGGCCCTGAACCCGTTTATACGGGTTCAAAAAGGCTATTTTTGGTCGAGCCTAATGGCTTGGGAATTGCCCAGGTTAGAAAGGCCTTGTGCCACATGACACCCTAGTGGGGGGGGTGACTGAATATCGTCAGTCGTTCACTTCTGAACCGACTGTTCGGTTTAACTCTCTTCCTACGGGCGGGAGGAACCCGAAGGAGGCTACGCCGAAGGGCGGAGTCTCCTTCGGGGAGGTAAAACCGGCCCAGAACCCGTTTATACGGGTTCAAATGGGCTATTTTTTGGCCGAGCCTAATGGCTTGGGAATTGCCCACGTTAAAAAGGCCTTGTGCCACATGACACCCTCGTGGGGGGGGGTGACTGAATATCGTCAGTCGTTCACTTTTTGAGCGACTGTTCGGTTCAACTCTCTTCCTACGAGCGGGAGGAACCCGAAGGAGGCTACGCCGAAGGGCGGAGTCTCCTTCGGGAGGTAAACCGGCCCAGAACCCGTTTATACGGGTTCAAATGGAAGGGCCGAGCCTAATGGCTCGGGAATGCCCCCTGTTAAAAAGGCCTTGTGCCACATGACACCCTCGTGGGGGGTGACTGAATATCGTCAGTCGTTCAACTCTGAACCGACTGTTCGGTTAAACTCTCTTCCTACGGGCGGGAGGAACCCGAAGGAGGCTACGCCGAAGGGCGGAGTCTCATTCTGGGAGGTAAAACCGGCCCTGAACCCGTTTATACGGGTTCAATGGAACACATGAGCACATTCGAAACCTTGGGCCACATTTCTTGTACTTCTCACGAAATGAACTTTGGACAAATCCTGGCGGAATTACCTATTTGTCGGAGAAGGATTATAATTTGGAAAACTAGACTATTAAAATTAATAAACGCAAAATTTCTGTCGTTTTTAATATATACGCCATACACGCCAGCTGGATGTTTTCCATAAAATCTGTCTGCGTGCAATCTGTGGAGTTTACCCTCAAGATAGGACATCCAACGTAGACCTGTATAACAGGTGTAATATTGGAGGAATCGAGACTTTTCTCATACAGTCTCAGTTACGGTGGACTGGTCATGTCTTGAGAATGTCTGATGACAGGATACCGAAGATCCTAATGTACAGCCAGTTAGATCAGGGCTACAGGAATGTAGGACGCCCATGGCTAAGATACAAAGACAAGCTGAAAAGCAACTTGTCATCTGTCAACATACCGCATAACACCCTTGACTTGGAACGGGTAGAATGGAGATCAATGTGTTTTAGTGGACTCAAAAGTTTTAAATCTGCTTGCCTGAATCATCTTCAAGAAGCGAGAGCAAGATCTAAAAGGTCAGACAATCTAACAGTGATCTCATCTCACAATCCTCACTCTTGCTCAATATGTGGCCTCCTTTGTAAATCATTAGCGGGTTTTAAGTTCCACTTAAGATTATCGCACAAAATTTCATAACTGAATCAATTAAGCTGTCAAATCCTCATAGGTCGAAGCCGACGGGAGAGTCCATCATATATATATATATATATATATATATATATATATATATATATAACGTTACAAACTACGAAATGGACTAAGACCGACAATTATTTTAATATATTTTCTGTTTATACGTTATTTTTATAGATACAAATATTTAATACGGATAAGAATATAATATATTAAAATAATTGTTGGACTTTGTCCATTTCGTAGTGTGCGACGTCAATTATTTACGCTGGGATACGCTTCGAGCAGAAATGAATATAACGAGGGGATTCATGGAAAAGTTTAGTTTAAAAACAGTAAAATCAACCCTGCTAATCAGACTCTCCTCAGTAGCTAGACTGGTATAGCACATTAGGCTATATGATGGCTCCATGTAGGATACAAGTTCGATTTCTGTCAGAGGGCACATATTTTCTATGAAAATTCAGACCGGTAAAATGTTATTAATACTGTTTATTATTAAACAGAGCAATTAAATATTTGTATCTATAAAAATAACGTAGAAACAGAAAATATATAAATGAGAGAAAAAATAGGTGGAGTAAAAATCCACAATTCGTAGCATTAATCTTTTAAAAAAGTGCTCAATATAAAGTAGAGCAAAATATTATTATAATATTTTTTATTATAATAAATAACAATGAAAACATTTTACATAGCATCCATGTAAAATGTTATTATTGTAATTTATTATAATATATATATATATATATATATATATATATATATATATATATATATATATATATATATTGTGTGTGTGTGTCCATAAATTTCAAATTTAAAGTGCGCACGAAGTTTATGGACACTCTGTATATAAAGATAAGTTTGGTGGTACAAAATTTTATCACTGCCATGAATAGACAAAATTAATTTTAAAAACGTCACCACTAAAACTAACAGCACAATTATATATATATATATATATATATATATATATATATATATATATATATATATATATATATATATTCGCAAGTCCTTCTGTACGTATACGAGAATCCAACAAGCTATATTTACTTACTATTTTTCTCTCTCTAAAAGTATTTTTAATATATATATATATATATATATATATATATATATATATATATATTTAATAAAACAATTAAGGCCACAAATACAAACAGTGCTCGAATTAAAATGTAAAATGTAAAATCAAAGCCAATATAGGAAAACGATCCTTGGGAGGAGTCCATATGAAACTTTAAATCGTGGAAAGGCAGCAATAATTGAGTACCATTTATATATATATATATATATATATATATATATATATATATATATATATATATATATATGTGTGTGTGTGTGTGTGTGTGTGTGTGTGTGTGTGTGTGTGTGTGTGTAAATATATGTTTGGTGGTACAAAGTTTTATCACTAGCCATAAACAGACAAAAATTAATTTTATTATTACCACTCATGATAATAAAAAGTAAAAATGAAAAACGGTCTAGCTAACCGGTTTCGTACCTCGCTCAATAGAGCTAAATCGAGGTTAATAACGTAAATTATGTAATGAAAAAAAGAACAATGGACAAAGTTTATTGGTGGGAAAAAAAAATATTAAATGGTCATTAGTTGGTGGCCTAATACAAAGTCCTTCTATTTACAAAGAGAAGTCTTTAGTGATAGAATATAGATGGCCTTCAACAATTTTAGGTGGTAATTTGATTGGGACTTGTTAAGGATGGTAAAAGCGTCCCCACTAACAGCACACTTATGGCTATTTATAAGGTTTTCTACGATGGAAGACCCGTATGTATTGGTCAAAATGTCCGAGGGAGTGTACTTCCGGTTTCGGATTTTCGCTGAAACGTGTTGTTTTATTCTAACATCCAGCTTTTGCGTCGTTCTCCCTATGTAATGCGAACCGCAATTACATTTAAAACAATAAATTAAAGAACTATTATGATGTGGAGGGAGAACATCCTTACGGATAGACGGAAAGACAGGCCTGTATGTATATATGTATGTATGTATATATGTATGTATGTATGTATATATGTATGGATGGATGGATGGATGGATGGATGAAATCTTTAATCATATGTTCACGGTATTGAGAATTTAATAAGAGCTGACAATGTTTAAGGAGAACAACTAGTTTACCTCTGTATCATCCTTCTGTCATTTTCAAGAAGAAGAGCTGTAAACATTTGGCTACATCTAATACGTGACGATTTCACGGACAAATCTACTTCAGAAAATCTGACCAAATAACAGATTTTTTTTAATCCTTTTTTTTTTCTAGACAGTTATCTTTGCCAGGTTGAGAACTTTCCAGCTATTCCTATTTATATATTCATGAATCACTTTTAATATGCACGTAGTATTAAAAATGCTCATTTGCATATTAATCACGCATGCGCACGCATGCGCATTAACCTTCCTCTGCCATTTGAAAAGGGGTGCGACCGGGACAAAATTTGAATTCTACTTCCCATCAAAGTATATCTCTGTTAATTCTAAAGCAAATCTAATTTATTCAAACCACACACAATTAAATCTAAATTAGATTAAAGAGATGGAAATGGAAATTCGTAAAAAAAACAAAAATATTTTGAAGAAAAAAAAAACAGTAAAAGAAAAAAAATGCAATGATTGTGAAAAACAAACAAAAACGTACTGAATTAATAAAATTATATTTTTCCTTTAATAAAATAGCTTTTCAATCAGCCGTTCGAAAGATAAAATGATATGGTCACCAGCTAATTTTATAGAGTGCTTATCCAAAAGAAAGGAAGAAAAAGAAAGAAAGAAAGAAAGATAGATAGATAGATAGATAGATAGATAGATAGAAATATGAACGAAAGAAGGCATAAACAAGAGGGAAAAGATTAAAGCAAAAGAGAGATTGTGAAAGTAAGAGGCATAAGAGAGAGAGAGAGAGGGGGGAAAGGGAGAGAGAGAGAGAGGGGGGAAAGGGAGAGAAAGAGTGAGTGAGAGTGAGATAGAGAAAGGAAAAAAATAGAGAGGGCAATATGAAAAGAAAGAAGCAATTAAAAAACTGTCAAAAAAGAAAGAAAAGTTATGAGAAAGAGAAAAGAAAATATAGAGCAAATAATGCAGATGAAACATAAAGTTTTACACGAATACGGCAAAGAAAGAAAAAAAGAAAGAAAGAACGCCGTAAAGGAGGGTGGAAAGAAAGAAAGAAAGAAAGAAAGAAAGAAAGAAAGAAAGAAAGAAAGAAAGAAAGAATGAAGTGACGGTAGAAAGAAAGAAAGAAAGAAGAGAGTGAAAGAGTATAGAAAGAAAGAAAGAAAGAAAGAAAGAAAGAAAGAAAGAAAGAAAAAGGAAAGGAGAAGTGAAGAAAGAAAGAAAGAAAGAAAGAAAGAAAGAAAGAAAGAAAGAAAGAATGAAAGAATGGAGTGTATGTGGTTGGAAAGAAAGAAAGAAAGAAAGAATGAACTGGAGGTAGAAAGAAAGAAAGAAAGAAAGAAAGAAAGAAAGAGAATGGAAGCAAAAAGAAAGAAAGAAAGAAAGAAAGAGAATGGAAGCAAAAAGAAAGAAAGAAAGAAAGAAAGAAAGAAAGAAATTATGACGTTTCTCTCTTTTCAAGACGCCATTTGTAAGTTCTTGACTTTAATCTGGCCTTGTGACAATGACTTCTATGTACCATGACCTTTCAGGAGGTAGCAATCATAGACCTCCACAGCTTTCGGTTGTCTGTCGTTCATGTCTGTCTTGTCCAAAAATGGCTCATGGCCATATAGCGTTGAAACACCGTTCCCGTATGATAACCGAAGTTAAGCAAAGTCGAGCCTAGTCACTACCTAGATGGGTGACTACTTGAGAATACCAGGTGCTGTAAGCTTGGATGTGCGGGTGGTGTAATGTATAATGGCTCAGAATTATTAATTGGAGAGCCGTGTTCCAATTTCACTTGGCTTCGTTATATTCCCTTACGCACAAATACCCTTGGGAAAGGTAAGAATTCACCTCTTCTCATCTAGCTATGTGTTAATTAGTAAGTCTTGTATCGCTATCGGCTCGGATTGAGGATCGGAGAGCCGAGTTCGAATTCCAGTCGAATCCATTACATTCACTTACGTGCTAATACCCTTGGGAAAGGTATGAATCCTCTTCTTCTACTCTCCCCCCCAGCTATGTGTAAATAGCAGGACAGACCGGGTTTTATAGCCTTGGATGGCAACTGGTTTACCGCAGAAAGAAATGGCAACCTATTAGAGGGAAAAAATCTGCCTCGTCAGTCATGTATCGAAAGATACATGATCGCCTAAGCGTGTATCACACATGGCACATAATTAATTGACTGACTTTCCAATCGAATCCATTACATTCACTTATGTGCTGATACTCCTGGGAAAGGTATGAATCCTCTTCTTCTCTCCCCAGCTATGGGTAAATAGCAGGACAGACCGGGTTTTATAGCCTTGGATGGCAACTGCTCTACCGCAGAAAGAAATGGCAAAAAACTGCGAGAAAAATCTGCCTCGTCAGTCATGTATCGAAAGATACATGATCGCTCAAGCGTGTATCAGGCATTGCACATAATTGACTGACTGTATTGCTAAATCATTATTATCTCCACAAAATTCTTATAGTCCCAAAATACTTCCTGGCTTTAAATAACCTGCAAAGACGTAAAAAATGACTCTTTTGTCTCACAGAAAGAATGAATACTTTCTATATACTAACCGATATACGTTCTTTAAATTCGCTTTTTGTAAATTCCTATGGAACGTATTTTTATCTCTTCTCATATTTGTATTTTATTTTCCAATTGCTTGATTTCCCAAATAATTAAGAACTGAATTCTGGCCAATCTCTTCACACATAAAGAAAAGACATAGGCAACAGAAATGTCGTTCAAAAGAAGGATGCTGAGAAAACTATACACTAAAGACGTTAGCAATAGAAAAGTTTGAGACAAAATGGAAAGAAATACGACACTTATACTTAAAATCAGAACGAGGTTATGAAATTCCTCAGGCATATAATGCGAAAAGAGGGCTTGGAAAATATGACACGCACTTTACAACAATCTAAGGGAGACAACTAGTACAATGTAAACCACGCAAGTAAACTTCGTTAGAAACAAAGAAAAACTTTTACTTAATATCGCTTCTCTTATATGGCAGTGAATGCTGGAAAATCTCCTCACGTATAAAGAAGAGACTTCAAGCAAGAGAAATATATAGAATTCTGAAAATACCTTGGATCGAACATGTGAGCAACGATGAACTTCTAGAGAGAATGGAAACCAAAAGGACACTTATACTTAACAAGAGATAGTTGAAATTTCTAAAGCACATAATTAGGAAGGACGGCTTGGAAAATCTGATACTCAAAGGACAGATTGAAATCAAAGGCTGGCAGAGAAAAACAGTGCATGAGTAAATGGATGGCAGCAGAGGATTTCAAAGAAATAGTAAAAAGACAATTTTTTAAGATCTACAAAGTTCAGGAAATCGTGGAGAGCCAGGATCGCATACTCTCTAAAGTGACAGCACATAGAAAAAGTGGAATGCGCTTTAGTAAATCGATGGTGAACAGGACTTAGGAGAGCTGACAAAAACAAAATTAATTAAGAGCGGCAAAGGTCAAGAAATTGTGGAGAGCCACGATCGACTACGTTCTGAAAGGACACAGCACATAGAAGAAATGGAATGCGCTTTAGTAAACCGATGTCGGAACAGGACTTAGGTGAGATGGCAAAAAAAGAAAATTAAGTAATAGCTGCAAAGGTCAGAAAATTAAGAGTTACAACGGCTAGGAAATTGTGGAGAGCCATAATCGCCAACGTCCTGTAGGAACATGGCACATAGAAGAAAAGCCTAAATGGATGGCGGAACAAGGTTTATAAGAGATAAAAGAAGACAAAATTTATTAAAAGCTACAACGGATAAGAAATTGTGGAGAGCCATGATCGCCCACGTCCTGAAGGGACACAGCACACAGAAGAGGAGGAATGAGCTTGAGTAAATGGATGGCGGAAGAAGGTTTAGGAGAAATAACAAAAAGACAAAATTTATTAAGAGCTATAAATGAGAGGAAATTGTGGAGAGCCATGATCGCCTACGTTTTAAAGTGTCCCTGTACAAGAAGATTTCGTTAAGGACAGCGAGAGGAACTTTTGAGTGAGTGTAATTCTTCAATTCCGAGGGTCTGGATGTAAGGGCTGAGATATGACATTTGTTAAATGTTCAACACCCCCCCCATCATTTTTTATTCTCTGTTAATCAATAGAATTGGCCATCGTTATGTATAAGAAGATTCAAAGCACCCAAGAACTAAAGCCAATTTTTTTCGCTGGAAGGTCAAAGGTGAGGGAAAAACTGGGCTTGGCGGGAGAGCTTAGGTCAAGGTTCATTGTCAGCCTTTAAAAGGTTATTCTTATTAAACGTCTACGTAGACATTTCAATAGCTACACTTACCATTTATATTGCTGCTGTATGCATATCAATCTCATATAAAAGTAATCTGCGACAAGTATTGGCGATTCTGGTATTCTGAAAGTGGAGAGGGGGCACTTGGGGGCCGAGAATTTTCCGCGGAGGAAAGTGGGGGGCAACTTCAAGCAGTGTCTTTATTTTCATACTAAACCACTATCGTATACGCAACTTAGAAATGAGTTTTAGTATAAGTATGTTACTTGACTAAATTAAACGGAATAACTTTTCATTCATAGTAGTGGAGTTCTAATCTATTCTTGCTCTCTCTTCCACTCTTAAGCTGTTGGACCACAAGAGAGGTTAATTTCAAAACAAAATCAAAGGGTTAATAATACTAACGTCAATATTAGCAGAACAGCTTAATTTGTCTGCTCTGAATTTTTCTTCAACAAATTTTTAAAAAGTATTGGGGTGCAAACCAAGGGGCCAGACAAAATTCGTGGGTGGGGCATTGGCCCCTTTTTCCCGACCCCCGTTGAATCGCAACTGGCGACCAATTTTATCAGTTGTTACAGATTGTCTTCAGCCTAGTTTCAGTTGAACAAATTCTTTTCCTAACATATTCTTACGAGCAACATGGCCCGGCGTTGCCCGTGCTTGATTCAAAAATCGTACGACTCATACAGCAATCGCTATCACTTGACTTAAAATATTTTTGCCTTTCCTTGCCTTTAAAGGAGTGCCCTTTGCCGTGCTGATGTTGCTACATGCCTTACTTCTTGCCTATCTCACACTGCGAATTTTTTCTAAGCTCTATACTAAACATTAAATCTGTTACAAAAAAAGAACTAAACAAAATGAACACAAAACGATCAGCTTTAAAAAAGGACTCGTAACTGGAAAAACCGAATGAAAAAAGTATGTTAACAGCAAATACTTTTTCACACCCATCCCAGTTCTGCGGCATCAGAATCAACGTTGAGTTTAAGCAAGCGAATGAGCCAATTGGAGTAAAATGCCATGCAGATTTAAATTTTTCCCACTTGTAACGAATGCAGCTATCGATTTTATTTGCATGCTAGCATGCTAGTTAACATTCGTGTCAGTCAGCTGTTGGCTCTCACGCTGGCCAGTAGAATCTTCCTGCCTATTCGTGGCAGCCAGCTCTTGGCTCTCACTCTGGCCAGTACAAAATGGCCGCAAACTACATGAAAACTGCTGTAGAAGCATCAAAAATCTATTATTTCCATTATCGATGGGAGTTGGGAAATGCAAAGTCGGTCTTGGTCTTCCCCGCTAACTTGGAGCGTGTGCATGCAAATTTTGGTGCAAATCCGTCGAAAATTGCGGTCGTGCATTCATTACACACACACACACACACACGTACGAAGTGGTATCAAAACGTTTCCGGACTAGTATTGTAGGGCGCCAACAGATGGCAACACTCGATTGAGCGCGCAGTGAGACCTAGTTACCTTCATGCACCAGTGTGTCGAGCGATATCGCTATGTTCACTTAGCAAGATCTGAAATTTGTGTTTTTGAGACCACGTGTATGCTGTAGCCTTCGATTTTGTCATCTAAGACCATACACATTGTTGTTTTTTTTGTGGGATTTTTTTTTCAATATCCGCGGTATTGTCCATCGAGAAATCCCATCCCCAGGGCTAGACCGTCCATCGAGACTTCAACTGGAACGTTTTGAGTCGTTTGAGGGAGGCAATTCGGCTGAAGCGACCGGATCTGTTGAGCGCATAGAATAGGATTCTTCACGACGACAATATCCCCTCTACTGTCACCGAACACTCCTCGCCCGTAAGAATCTCGTCTAAAACAACATTGTATCGCTTCTATACCTCTCCTATTACGCCAGTGGACTTCCATCTCTTCTCCAAGCTGAAAATACAGCTCAAAGATTGCCGTTTCAGAGAGAATCGCAGAAGGTCGTCGATTCGCTACCGTCACTGTGACAAGACCATTGACTCATCAATGGGTCCCCCAACTCTGTTTGTTGACTTCAATCTACGAAGCCCTCCGTCCAGTGGCGCTGTTTCGTCCTTGAACTGGTTTCAAGCATATTTTTGGAGCCCAGTGTACCACATTGTGGTAGATGGCTGTTGACACTACAAGAATGTTCATCCACGCTTTCAAAGGTCTTTTTTAAATTTTTGTTAGGTGTCTCTCTACTCTCATCACGCCAAAAGCCTAATGAGGCAACCGGTTTAGCTGCTGGCGATCCGACCATATGGAAGACAGTAATAGGTTTCTGTCTATATCACTGAGATGAGGTATTATGATTACTTGGATTAATTACATTATTCGGACTGTTATCCTGATCTTCATTGCCATATTCACAACGCTTTGGCTTCTTTTTCGGCCTTCTCCAGGTGATTGGAATTTCGATTTGAACTCTTTATTTTGTTAAACCGGGGTAGATTTTTCTAGTTGTGCGTGCCATGCCTCATCCGGATGGCTCAGTTATTTCATCAGTGGAGAACTAAAATTTAAACAGTTGACTTAAAGGGAAATAACTGAGACATCCGGAGAGGCATGGCATGTGGAACTAGAAAAATCTACGCCGTTTTGACAAAATAAAGAGTTCGAATCGAAATTCCAATCACCTAAAGAAGGCCGAAAAAAAGCCAAAGCTTTGTGAATATGGCAATGAAGATCAGGATAAAAAAAAAAAAAAAAAAACGAGTACAAAAAAAGAAAATGTAAATCTGAAAGAAAAGAGAGATTGAGGGAAAAGGGTGAATGAAAGAAAATGTAGAATGAAAAAAAAGAAGAATGATAGAAAAGAATAAACGAAAGGAAAAAAAAATAAAAGAAAAAATGAAAAATAAAGAAAAATGGAGGATAAAAACATAGAAAATAAAAAGTGAAAAAAATGAAGGATGAAAGAAATTGGAGAATGAAAGAACAGAGAAAATGAAAGAAAATGGAGATTGAAAGAGAGAATGAAAGAAAAGGAAGAATGAAAGAAAAAGGAGAATGAAAGAAAAGAGAGAATGAAAGAAAAAGGAGAATGAAAGAAAAGGTAGAATGATAGAAAACGGAGAATGAAAGAAAAGGGAGAATGAAAGAAAAAGAAGAATGAAAGAAAAGAGAGAATGAAAGATAAGGGGGAATGAAAGAAAAGGGAGAATGAAAGAAAAGGGAGAATGAAAGAACGGAAAAATTAAAGAATGAATGAAAGAGGACAATGAAATAATTGAGAGAATGTAAGAAAAATGAAGGAGGAAACTGAAAGGAAAAAAGAAGAAAAAATGAAAAAAAAAATGGAAGAATAAAATAATTTAAAAAAGAGAATAAACAAAAAAATGAATTAAATTTGAGAATGAAAGACAAAATAGAGAAAATGAAAGGTGCATGAATGAAAACGAGCACAATTGAAAGAATAGAAAGAATTCATGAATGAAAGAACGAAGGAAAAGAAAGTCTGAAACAATGAAAGAAAAAGAAGAATGAAAAAAAGAAAGAATAAAGGAACGAAAGAACGAATGAAAAGAAAGAATGAAACATTGAAAGAAAATGAAGAATAAGAGAATTAAAGACAAAGAAAAATGAAAAAAAATCAAGAAGAATAAAAAAAAACAGTAGGAAACGACACAATGAAACAAATAAAAGCTTAAACGAAATAATAAAAAAAGAATGAAGAAGAAATAAAGGAATAAATTAAAACAAAGAATGAGAGACAGAAGGAAAATGATTGAAGCCACTTGAAAAAATACCAACAAACAAAACCAAAAAAAGATTAACAAAAACAATGAACACTAGTGGATTGTAAAAACAAATTAGTGGACAATTCATTAGCGGCCATATTGTTTATTGGCCAAGAAAGCGGGAATCTTAGGAATGGAAAAAAATCTTTGAAGGAAGTGATGATGACATATGCGAATGGACTGTTAATGACCAGAAATAGAAAAACAATATCAACTCCAAACAAATTCGTTCATTTTTTTTTTATGATAGTATTCAATGTCACTCGATTGCGAAGTATTCCATCGGAGAGTCTTTTAAGAGGCGACCCGTGTGTCACAGAAAGCCCTAGCCAAAGAGTAGAACAGGAATAGATCATTACAAATGCATGACACCACTCGCAAGAAATTTTGATTTTGTTTCGTTCAATTTTATTTATTTAATTACACGCTAACTTTTTTTTTATTTCATTTTATAAGATTATTATCCGAACAGATTTTTTTTTTTTGAATGCCCGTTTGTCGGAGAGACTTTGTAAATCACAATAGTAACGTCTTCGAACAATACTCGGGACAGACGCTGATAATTCCCATATATATATTTTTCCTCTTATCCATCACGTGATCTAATTATTTCAAGATGAGGTCGACTGTACTTGCTCTCTGGTGACCCGCGTTCAAACCCAAGTGTCGGCATCGACACTTTATTCATCTATAACCATTTTCGTTTCATTTATAATCAGTGCAAATATGAATATCTGAGTTTGCATCTACGCAAGTGTGAATTCTGACTTTTGTATGCATATGTATGTGTATATACATCAACTGGGTATGACATGTAAACTGAAGCCGGTGGTATGGCTCTGAATTTACTATTTGGAGATTTGGGGAATGTGAAGTTACACCTTAAATGCCATTACTCCCAGGTCTACTCAGGTCCGGAGTGGTAGCACCTGTCAAGGTCTTATCTATGGATCAAATATCTTGCAGTGTGCATAGGTGTGAATGTTTGTTATGTAAATACACTGCGTGTGTGTGTACATGTGTGGGATGGCTGTGTATATATGTACAGTGGATGTGGAATATCTGCATCGGGTATATGTATATGTGTAGACGGAACTATTGTGGTCCGTCGATAGCTGTGCTAGCACGAAGTCACAAGTCATCGTGGCCGAGGGCTTGAGCGTGCTGGTCTTGTTCAAATTTTTGATCACGCTAGATAACATGCTCTCTCTCTCTCAGAAACTGTAAGTAATGTCTGCTCAGCATAGTTGCAGTATAAAACACAGGTGGTCTCTGTGGGTGTTGAATAAACACAAATGTGCCTGAGCGAGCGTCTGCAACAGGGATTGTGTAGCCGCCCTAGTAGATGTGCATCCTCGAGTACGAGAGGCCAGCTATTATTATATATATAAGTGTACATACGTATATGAGTAGATGGGACTGTTCAGACATGTTTATGTCAACCCAACTAAGATGACAAACCTGAGATTGAAACGATTGTGATTGACACTATAACCAAATGAGGTAGTGATGCCTATTTACGACATGTCTCATTCTATTCATACACCTCGTCCGCAGACGGCTTGGCAAGTCACCTTCGGGTTCACGCACGTGAGAGCTGTAAGAAGGCGAGCGAACGTGATTACGCGGCAATCATCTGTGAAGATGCGGCTTATCAGCATCATACATCAACAAGTCCGTAGCTTATTGATGAAAAAGCATATATTTAAAATAGAAAACATTGTTTTTTTCTACATAAATTCCTTGCTGTCAAAATTCACAACTGTATTGTGATCACCACATCTCGCTGTATAGGCACAGATGGTTAGGACGTTCTATTTCTGACCATGAGAACTGACACTCTTTGGGTGCTGTCACTGGATCTAACTAACGCCTTTACTCACTGTGCCATGTATGCTCAAGGGCTCATAGCACAGTGGATAAATACCCGGTTAAGGCAGTGGAGAACTTGGAGAGGAGAATTATAACATCCATTAAACACGGCATGTGGAACTAGAACTGTCTACCCCAGTGAACGAAATAAAGGGTTCAGTTCGACATTCCCACCACATGAAGAAGGCCGGAACGTACAACGGCCGAAACGTTGTAATAAATATGGCAACAAAGACGAGGACAATAGTCCGAATAATGTAAATAGTGTACATAATACCTCATCTAATAAATATAGACAGATACTGAAAGGCCGAAAAGTTGTAATAAATATGGCGACAAAGATGAGGACAATAGTCGGAATAATGTAAATAATGTACATAATACCTCATCTCAAAAATATAGACAGATATTGAAAGGCCGAAACGTTGTAATAAATATGGCGACAAAGATGAGGACAATAGTCCGAATAATGTAAATAATGTACATAATACTTCATCTCAGAAATATAGACAGATACTGAAAGGCCGAAACGTTGTAATAAATATGGCGACAAAGATGAGGACAATAGTCCGAATAATGTAAATAGTGTACATAATACTTCATCTCAGAAATATAGACAGATACTGAAATGCCGAAACGTTGTATTAAATATGGCGACAAAGATGAGGACAATAGTCGGAATAATGTAAATAATGTACATAATACCTCATCTCAAAAATATAGACAGATATTGAAAGGCCGAAACGTTGTAATAAATATGGCGACAAAGATGAGGACAATAGTCCGAATAATGTAAATAATGTACATAATACTTCATCTCAGAAATATAGACAGATACTGAAAGGCCGAAACGTTGTAATAAATATGGCGACAAAGATGAGGACAATAGTCCGAATAATGTAAATAGTGTACATAATACTTCATCTCAGAAATATAGACAGATACTGAAATGCCGAAACGTTGTATTAAATATGGCGACAAAGATGAGGACAATAGTCGGAATAATGTAAATAATGTACATAATAAATCATCTCAAAAATATAGACAGATATTGAAAGGCCGAAACGTTGTAATAAATATGGCGACAAAGATGAGGACAATAGTCCGAATAATGTAAATAATGTACATAATACTTCATCTCAGAAATATAGACAGATACTGAAAGGCCGAAACGTTGTAATAAATATGGCGACAAAGATGAGGACAATAGTCCGAATAATGTAAATAGTGTACATAATACTTCATCTCAGAAATATAGACAGATACTGAAATGCCGAAACGTTGTATTAAATATGGCGACAAAGATGAGGACAATAGTCGGAATAATGTAAATAATGTACATAATACCTCATCTCAAAAATATAGACAGATATTGAAAGGCCGAAACGTTGTAATAAATATGGCGACAAAGATGAGGACAATAGTCCGAATAATGTAAATAATGTACATAATACTTCATCTCAGAAATATAGACAGATATTGAAAGGCTGAAACGTTGTAATAAATATGGCGACAAAGATGAGGACAATAGTCCGAATAATGTAAATAATGTACATAATACTTCATCTCAGAAATATAGACAGATACTGAAAGGCCGAAACGTTGTAATAAATATGGCGACAAAGATGAGGACAATAGTCCGAATAATGTAAATAGTGTACGTAATACTTCATCTCAGAAATATAGACAGATACTGAAATGCCGAAACGTTGTATTAAATATGGCGACAAAGATGAGGACAATAGTCGGAATAATGTAAATAATGTACATAATACCTCATCTCAAAAATATAGACAGATATTGAAAGGCCGAAACGTTGTAATAAATATGGCGACAAAGATGAGGACAATAGTCCGAATAATGTAAATAATGTACATAATACTTCATCTCAGAAATATAGACAGATACTGAAAGGCCGAAACGTTGTAATAAATATGGCGACAAAGATGAGGACAATAGTCCGAATAATGTAAATAGTGTACATAATACTTCATCTCAGAAATATAGACAGATACTGAAAATGCCGAAACGTTGTATTAAATATGGCGACAAAGATGAGGACAATAGTCGGAATAATGTAAATAATGTACATAATACCTCATCTCAAAAATATAGACAGATATTGAAAGGCCGAAACGTTGTAATAAATATGGCGACAAAGATGAGGACAATAGTCCGAATAATGTAAATAATGTACATAATACTTCATCTCAGAAATATAGACAGATACTGAAAGGCCGAAACGTTGTAATAAATATGGCGACAAAGATGAGGACAATAGTCCGAATAATGTAAATAGTGTACATAATACTTCATCTCAGAAATATAGACAGATACTGAAATGCCGAAACGTTGTATTAAATATGGCGACAAAGATGAGGACAATAGTCGGAATAATGTAAATAATGTACATAATACCTCATCTCAAAAAATATAGACAGATATTGAAAGGCCGAAACGTTGTAATAAATATGGCGACAAAGATGAGGACAATAGTCCGAATAATGTAAATAATGTACATAATACTTCATCTCAGAAATATAGACAGATACTGAAAGGCCGAAACGTTGTAATAAATATGGCGACAAAGATGAGGACAATAGTCCGAATAATGTAAATAGTGTACATAATACCGCATCTCAGAAATATAGACAGATACTGAAAGGCCGAAACGTAATAAATATGGCGACAAAGATGAGGACAATAGTCTGAATAATGTAAATAGTCTACATAATAACTCATCTCAGAAATATACACAGATACTGATGGATTGCTTTTATTAAATTTGGGGCATTTTTTCATCATGTTATACTAATTTCTTTTTTTGGAGGTACC